GAAAGACCCCAGCCTTCCCCTCTCCCAGGCTCACTGCGCACACTCCCCGCGCACAAACAACTCATAAAAGCAACGGAAATCACGTGGTACATCAGTTTCTGCAACGTCTTTCCGAAGAGAAGGAGTGCACGACAAGCTATGTTAAAAGCTTCCGAGGCAATCGTTATTGACGAGAATTTTGGTCCAAAAGCTAACGATTTAGAAGAAAACATGCCAGGCTTAAATAAAGAGAGCAGGTGAGTATTCTGTCCACATTTGTCACTGTATAAATCATCTTTTTTCTGACGTTTCTTAAGTTGCGTAATAATCAATCCAAGATGGCTGTCCGTTGACATAGATAAAATTTTCCTGGTAAAATTTTTGGCTGTAGATTCCTAAAAAAAATAAGATTGAATAATAATAATCTTTGTCGTTTAAGTAAAGTGTAATTTGTCATAATTCTTTCATTTTGAAAAGTAGGTAATTTGTTCTTTTGGTGAATTGGTATGGAAGGAGGTGATAGTGGATAGCGCTAGGCTAGGCAAGGGAGGTGGGACACGTAGCAGATTAGCTGGCTTGTGTAGTTTGTTGAAGACATTAAATCGTTACCATATTGCCTTAGTAGTATTGATTTTCACACCTGGTATGTCGCAATGACTGCTTTACATAAATAAAATTCCGCTTTGTTATACAAGCAACGTTCCATTGTGGTAAAGGTTTTTGAGAATAAAGGGGAGGTGGGTCAGATGAGGGATTAGCTGGGCTGGCAAGCGTCCAGGATGCAACCTGTACAACCAGGTTTTGCGTGTGCAGCCCAGGGGACAACGGCGACAGCAGGCCCCAGCATTTGGGATTTTTCCACCAGGTCAGCCGTCAAAACTAGGTTACTCCATGTCAGGCCTGTAGGGGAGTTGCTAGATTCTCCTAATCAATAAGGTCAGCTGATATGGTACGTCATAAAAGAAAGATATGGCTGATTAGTTTCTTAATACTGAAAAATTTATTTAAAAAAAAAGGGGTGGGACACCTGCCCCCTGCTAAATAGCTTATCTGGCTCAATTTGTATTTAAAGGGGTGGTAGTTTTGTTCAGCATCCAATTGTTACTTGTTTGTTTAAGCACCTCATCTATTAAAGCCAGCCTTCTTTAAGCATGTGGAGATCAAAAATAATATGGTACATATGCTTGTTTTTTTTTTTTCCTTAAGAAAATACCATCTTTACAATAAGCTGCATCTGGTTTTAGTACATGCTCTGGGTGTCTCATCTCCCATTCCTGAATTTGCTATATTTGTCTTAATGCATGGATGGGCAGGGAGCCTAACTCTACACAGGATTTAACTCTGCCTATCTCAGGATTCAAATTTGTCAGCTTATCTTTATGGGGGTACCAATGAGTTAATTTTAATATAAAGTTAAAGGTTATGTGGGAATGGTGTATTGTACATATTTTACCAGAGCCTTTAATGCCAAGACAGCCATGCTGTACAGCTCTAATGGTTATGAGCATTTTATTGGTAGTGATTTAACTACTAAAAATATTCGAAGGAAAGGTTTATTAAAGGTATACAGTATACAGCGGTACTAATGGAACCTTGAGAACAGCCTCATTGTTGAGTCAGGACAAGAGACATCATGTTGGTGCTACATTGTAACCATCATGTGGAGATGGCAATCATGTGGAGATGGCACCTTATTAAATTTGCGACTATAGAATCTTTATCATTTGTCTCAAGCATCTGTGTGGTTTTTAATTTACCTTTTTAGTCCCAGTCGTCGTTAACTTTAGCTCTTTTGGCTATCCTCCGAATAACGGGCACATATTATGGCGGCCTCGAAAATACACTAACAGGGCCCCAGTCACGTGTCAATTGCGCACTTCCGGCGACTTAATTTACGGACTTCCAGCAACTACGGCCGAGGGTATCCCCCACATCTCATCTCCGGCAGATCTGCTCGTGAGTCCCAGCCATCTAGTTTAGCCCTAATCCACGCCACATGAGCGGCATTGGGGATACTCTCGCCGGTGGTTGTAGTCACGGGAAGTCCACAAATTAAGTCGCCGGAAGTTCGCAATTGACACATGACTGAGGCCCTGTTTTTGGCCGCCATAATATGTGCCTGTTATTTGGAGGATAGCCGCTCATTCTATACCACTATTCATGATTTTAGAGTGAAAATCTTAGAGTTTGATTTGTAAATCAGTTTTTTTTTCTGCATTAAACCTTATAAGGGTTAGCACATTGTGTTATGGTTTACAGCTTGACTGTGCCTTTTGGCCCATCAGTTTTCAACAAATTAAAGGTGTTTACCCCCCTCTCCCCCCTCTAATGGCGCCACTGGATTCCTTTTGGCTAGAGCATTATGTTAAAGCAATAATTAGGAGTATGGAATTAAAATAATGGCTCTCCTGTAAACTTCATACCCATATTATGGAGGCCTAACAGGGCCTTAGTCGTGTGTAAAATGCGAAATGCCTGCCAAGGAATAGTGGCAAAACTAGGATTGCCTCCGAATAACGGGCCAATGACTGTGCTGCACCACCGACCTATCCCCTGCGCCGCTAAATGCGTAGCGGATGGGGGAGGGGGGCAGGGATCAACTAGAATGCCCGTTATCACGAGCAAATAAATTGGAAGTTGCAGGAGATGCTGTAGCAGCCTCATCCTCATCACTTTTTTCGTGTGCATTGTTGCGTTTCTCAATTGTCTGCAGACAGTAATCCTAGTTATGCAATGGTGTTTGTCGAAGTCCCCATTTTACACATGGCTGAGGCCCTGTTGGGGTTTTTGTTTGGCCGCTATAATATGGGGACGAAGTTAGGAGGAGAGCCAAAATAACAGTAACATCTTACAACAGGCATTCAGAAATGTGTAGAATAATTTACCTGGGGTCAGTACACGATTCACTACAATTGTTGATTACAAAACTGAAAGCACTGCCTTTCATTTAGCATGTTTGTTCAGAGCATACTAAAAAAATTTAATGACTTTGCTGGCCATTTGTCTGAAAGCTTTTTATAGATTTTCCTTGGGCATATACTACCAAGTCTTTAAGGCCTGAAATAGTTAAAGCCGAACTGTTCTCAGAATATTTGTGTTCAGTTTATTTCCAGAAGACGGTGATCCAGTTTTTGGCATTAAGTGGCAAGAAAAGATCACAAATTCTGAAATATAACAGTGGTTTACCGAAGGCTCATATCACTAATGCTATGTAGTCACTAAAAACTTCCTCTGTGGTGAATTAAAGATGGGTAGAAGATGCAGGGATTGGCCTCTTGTGATAAACGATGTGTACGTTCAAGCCATAAATTATTGAAGTGGATTTGTGAAAGCATATTGCCTTAGACCATGGTTATAAAGGGGAAAAATTAGGAGTGGAATGTAAAGGAAATGATTTCAGATAGGTTCAGCGCCAAGCATCGAAGAAGCACTTAAGATGGTCTTGAAATCCTGTTATAATTTTGGAAAACGTGAGGGGGTCTTGCTAGTGACTTGCTTTACCACATATACTTTACCACATAAACGTAATGTATACGATGAACATACATTTTTAAGCACCTCATCTGGCTTCAACTTTTCTATAAATCTGGAAATGTAAACATCACCTTGGATGTTGAATAAAGTCATTTGAAAATGTGACCTCTCATGGGTTACCATCTTGCCTGTCTCTGTAGCCCTGTTGCCACAGTAGCAAAGCACGCAATAATGTGTAAGGAACCACTTCTCTGTCAGGTTGCCATAATGGAAACTAGGAATCCAATTCAGGTGCATTGAAAAAAAAAGTCTGGATGAAATAAATGTAATTAGTTCGGACATTGTGGGATGGAATCAGTTTACTTCAATTCGAGCATTCAACATTTAGTTGTGCTTTAAGGAAAGCAATGGCAAACTACCTTCTCTGTGAATACCTAGAGTTATTCTCACATTTAGTCATTTTGTTTTGGGCCTGTTATGATGTAGATTTTAAAACAGATAGCTGGCCAAGTTTATGGGAATGAACAAGGCAAATACCTGTGTATCTTGACCACTTGGTATGAACCGAGTTGTCAAACTCCAACAGAACTCAGGACATTCCCACATGTGCTCTGTTCTTCAGCAGCCACTCGCAGATTTACAGTTTTAGTTGTGCCAGTGGCGGTTTGATTGTCTTTCATTTCCCCTGAGTTTTGAGTCTCAGCTAGATCTCCTGGTTACTCCCTGCCGTCTCATTCACTGGTGTTAGTGACAAGAGCAGAAGACTGGTGCTTGACATGACTCATGTTGCGTCCAGGGCTTTATTTAAAGGGTGGATATACCCACTTCGCTACCTTCTTCCCACATCCAGACACATACAAAGCATGCGTTAAAATGTAAATAATTTGGTTGTTGAGCTGATAGGCACTTATATCAAAAGCTAGCTGTGAAACACAAAAAGGATCGACATGACATTTAGATAGTTCAAGAAAGACAGTGGCCATAAACATACAATCCATTTTTATGGCCCATGCCAGCATGTCGTAAGAGTCGACTAATTGGGATTTTTCTTCAAAGTCAGAGTGCATCTGCCTGAGAGGCAAGAAACCAACAGTCTACATACAAATTTCAGATCAGTAGAAAAGATCTGCACCCAACACTCTGGTTCTGGAACAAGTGTTAAAGTCCAGAGGTAGATGATCAACCAGAATTTTCTGCCAGTTTACAGCTTACAGGAAAAGGAAGAATTACAAATAATAAAACAATCGCTTATTGCAGTAGATCTGTCACCCAATATCATACTTGAATAGTGAAAGCCCTGCGACACCAGTTTCACAGGGGTAAGAAACTGGACATAAATAACCTAGACAGGAAGGGTTGGTAGGCAGGTGAGGGGTTAAGATACGAGATAACTAAGATTTTTAAAGATAAGTGTTGGACATTAGGGCCCTAAGGAGAGAGTATCTGTCATATGGTTACATTTGCCTTTTATAATCATCATTCCTTTATGTCTGCATATAACTATATTGTAAATACATGTATGTATGTTATTTAAAATTGTCTTTCAGCTCAAGCCCCAAGCGCTGTATTATATCTCTCGGCCCCGGGCCTCTGTGGTGGTCCTGATGTTCCCCACGTCGCTCCAGAATGCCGGAAAAATTTGGCAGAGGGCAACGACGTGGGGGTCACGAAAACGCCCCCTGTCAGTGTGAATAATTTTTTGATTGACCTAAACAACTCAGCACGCAAGAACGCATCACAGGTAATTTCTTTCGGTGTTTTGTTAATTTATAATTGAAAAGTAAATAACCAACTTCATATCTTGCAAACATCTCATGCAGCTCACTGTGTTCTCCTTATGAAATTCCTCTTTATATTTCTGTTTTTAAATCCATTTCTTTAGCTCTATTATTTTCAGCAGTTTTCAGTTACATGTCACATCTTTTGTGAATCTAATAACTGCATTTTGATTCACTGGCATTTGTTTGATTTTACTGTGAAGTTTCACATCAATGAATAAATCTGTCGGGGATAACTGCACTCAATACATGTCCACTTGTCTTTTTCTTCAGCAGCTAACAAGGTTCCCATACTGGTAGTGACTTTTGAGACTTGATTAAAAGTATGCACATCTTTCCCATGTACGCTGTTTGTGTGATTGCGCTCTGATGTACACCGACAGACTTCTTATATCAAATTTACTGTTTTCTGGGGGGTTTCTTTACCATACAGCTCTGAGTATGGTGTTTACCGATTCCCTTAATGGGCTGTACGAGGGAGAGAGTTGCAGGCACATATTCTGCAGTTTGCACACAGAGAGGCAGTGGGTCCGGCCCCCACCCCATGGTAACATTGCCCAATTCATAGCTCTTAACACACACACATCCTTTTCTAATTTGTTGGCGGCGCATTTTATATTTGTTTACTTATTTGTACTTGACTTTAAACTACACACTATCCTTTGTTTTGAAAACGTTTTCTGATGGCAGTTCATAAGAATTATCAATGCCACAGTCATTAAACTGTTCAGAAATATCTTCACCTTCGGATGAAAATCACCCGAGCACCAGAAATATTTTTAGTGTTACCGTCACGATGGCTCTGAGAATGGGACGCTGTGATCAAAACATCTAACACCTCACAAAGTAGTCAAGCGTAACCATCGGCAGATCGCATGACTCACGACCATGGTAGTCAGTGGGTAAAGACTTGTAATATGACTATGCTGGTTTAAAGTCTTCTTCGCGTTCACTGGCTGTAAACTCTGGCAGAAAGTTCTGGTTGTTAGTCTACTACTTTTAGTTTTGTTCCAGAGCCTGAGTGTTGCATGTACATCTGACAGACATGGCTCATTTGCATGCAGCTGTTGGTCTCTTGCCTCTCAGGCAGGTGCACTCCAGCTTGAAGCAAGCTCCCAATTAGTCGACTCGTACGACATGCTTTTGGGTAGGCAGGTTTATTCTTGTTTTCCCTACAATAGAGCCCTGGAACCCACACCAGGAGCTGGTGTTTTGAATTCATTTTCAAATCATCTTTTAAGTCATTAAAAAATGTAAAGGACCCTTGCCATTATTACATAAGGCATATAGTGTGCTAAACCCGTATTTGTATAGATCGATCAATTTCTAAGTCGTATGGTTAACTTCACACCAGTCACCTTTGCTTCTCAGGACACATCCTGGTACCCATTTAAGGCTAGGTAAACCTTGAAGCCAGTTTTTTTCCTTAGTGTAGGTTTAAACTCAAGACCCTCCAGTCGGCAAGCAAATATCTAGCCGCAGTGCTGCTGTAGTCTCCTTTAAGTATACATCATATAAATTTTGTTATGCTGCTCATAAATGTAGATTTTGTTCAGTTATATTGCATATAAATTGGTTGTTTTTATTCTGCATATAATTTTTTTAGTTATACAGCAGAAATAAATTAGTATAGATTTTTTATTTGTACAATTGCAGACTCCTAGCTTCTTCACCTTCAAGATCTCTCCTGTGGCCGGACTGACAGTGTTCTGGGAGGCAACTCTTGTCAACGATACGTTGTACGTAGAGCTGCCTGCTGGCATTCTGCCTGAAGGATCCAAGGAGAGGTACTAAGAATTTTAAATTTTTCTTTTGCAAGTTTCCACATTGAACATATTCACTAATTACTAGGAAAAGATTATGGTTTTTGTACCGTCTGATATTTCTAAGATCAGATACCATCACAGGCACTACATCTCAGAAGATCAGCTACAAGAGCAAGAGGACGGCTGCGGAAAATATGGATCGACAACATTTAAGACACCCTACGCCTTCACGGCATGACAATAGCCTGTGACAGCCAACATGCACTGGATTGCAAATTATTCCTCAACACGACCTTTAACGGCAGAAGTGGTTTATGATGATGATATTTCTACAAACAGCCACACACAGAAATCAAGATGGCCACCATGATTATGTGACATTATTTGCATGATATATCTTTTTCATGTGTAACAATCATTTATAATAGTGCTCTGAAAGTTTCAGAACCCTACATTTTAAAAAAAATTTAATTTTATTAGAAAACCACATTTTGAACAATCTCCAAGCAACCTTGGTAATGGGAAACAGTAATGCTGGTCAGCAATGTTCACTACAAGGAATTTCTTTGGAAAGAGTTCCTTTATCAGAATAATGGTCTAGGTTGCTCTCATACTAACCTCAAGGGCAGTGGTGTCTTGCTGTAGATACTAGTGGAATCTCTGCAGTTCCCTGTTTCCCTGTAATTATCCTTGTCTTTTTTTAGGGAGCTGGAGCATGTGTGAGCATGTCCTGAGTTTTGAATCATTTAAGTATAGAGTTCTGGTCTATACAGGTTGCCCATCCAGGAGGTTTGGTTAGCTTGCAGGGGTAAAAGGTCAGGTTAGAAGTCAGTGTGCGGGTGCAGAACCACAGAGGAACTTGTCACTGTCTTCGTAACAAGCATGTCATGAGAGGTGGCTAATTAGGGGTTTCCTTTGGAGTCTGGGTACATCTGCCTGAAACGCCAGAAACCAGCAGTATTCTTTGATAAGAACTAAGTGAATGAATGAGAACTTTCTGCTGGTGTTTGCAGTTGATGAATGTGAAGAAGAAATACTTGATCAAGTAAGCTTCAGATGGGGAGTCATTGATGAATGTAACTGGAAGTAGTAAAAATTCTTCCAAATTTGCTTAATGTCCAGCATACACAGAACAGAAAATATCAGTGGCTGTCATCTGCTCACTTTAAGGACAAACTCCTTGGTGATATTAGCATCCACAAGTTGACAGCAATGTATGATCAGATTTTTGTATGTAAATATTGTTGTGGTAGTAACATTTGTTTTCTTCACTGTTTAGTTTGGTGACACTTCTGGAATATGCTGAAGAGAAACTCAAGTGCAAACACGTGGTCTGTTGCTTTAACAAGAACAGAGTTGACCGTGGTGAGTGTGGGCTGCTTTTTACCTTTTTTTGTTTGGTTTTTAGCTGTGGGATGTGGCTCTTTGGCCTGGCTACAGCCAATTTTTCATTAACTGGTGCCTGCATAGAAGTGTCATCATGTTGTGTCTATATACCACACAGGGCTTGCAGCCATTTCCTACATCCCATTATATCTTGTACAGTCCTGACTGTATGGAATCCATTCCAGCGCCTTTTGCCGCTCTCATCATTCATCCTAGTTTCTCGAGGTCCTCGTTTCTGGACACCATTTAGCATGCACAAAATTGAATGGTAATGCAGGGAGAGAACTCAAATGCTAATAAAGAAATGAGCAAAAGATTAGCAAGCTTCATATTGTAAGAAAACAAAGTGAATGTTCTGGCTACAAAGCCTTCATTAAATTAGCACATACATAAATCAAACAAAACCACACGAGTACACAGAATCACTGAACTGACGCATCCGAAAGCGGCGTTGACACGATAGGCCGAAGACGGTCTGGGAATGCCAAGGGTCGTAACTTGAATTTTATTTGGAACTGTTGACTGTTCAGTCCATTAGGTGTTTGATGCTGTCACAGCCACTTTTAAGAGATGCAATGTCAGAGCAATGTGGGGGAAATGACGTGCTTGTTTTTCTCTTTAAGTGCCCAAAAGTCATCTTATGTAGGGTAACTACTGTTTGTGTGTTTACTACTGTAAAGACACTTTTACAGAATAGCTTATTATTCAGGCTTTTACAGAATAGGTTGCATTTCATGGAAATAAAAATGACCTACCAAACAGTTGTGAAGCGACTGGGTATGAAAACAGGTCCGAACAGAAATGATAAAGTAAAACAATTTGGCCACATTAATAGACAGCTGTTCTTTAAAAACCATTTCATTGAATCAGTATCCTATTGTGCCATTATGTTAAATAAGGCTTAGTCTGATCTCTATTCAGTTCTAAGTAATCATTTCAGTGTCATGGATGGAATCCAGCCCTTAACCTTCGGCTTCTTTTGTTAAAACACCATACTGGAGGAAGTTGAAGGCAAGCCAACAACAGCAGGTGGATAGCAGTACCTGTGGTAGGGTAACAGTGCAGGAACAGCAGTTCCAAGTTTACAAATTTGTAGCTGACCTTTATTTAGGGGGGAAAGGTATCTATGACAGATTGATTGACTCATCTGACACATTTTTTAATTATCATTTCTTCCTACTGCAGTGTCCCTGCTGAGAGTCTTCAACTTCTTCGGCTTCCAGATTCTGCCACCTGGTCATCCCTTGGTGGTCAGCCCATCCCAGGATCTCCTCTTCATGGCTTACACTATTGAGAGGGACTCTGAGCTGGACGACACTGATGACAGTGACGAAGAGAACGACGGAAAGAGTGAGTGCAGCGATGATGACAGCTGCAGCGATGGCTAAATAGCCAGCCAACTGCTTCGTTTGGATGGCCAAACTGAAAATTATTTACATTGATAGCGATCTTGCGTCGTCGAAATTTATTTCGGCTTTTTCTTGTAAACCTTTTTGCATGGTTTTTTGATTCCTTGTATCTTGTAAATTGTTTTTTTTTTTTTTTTTTTGTTTTGTTTATAAGCAGATAGTTATTGTATTCATGTGATTCTTTTTTCCCCAACAAAAAAGCCAAAGAGCAATTTTAAGTTTCAAACTTTGAAGGGATTCATTTATTCAGCACTTAGCACCAGACAGATTTACTTGAATTGGTTAGTCTAGTGGTGGACTGTTGGCGCAGGCAGTTCTGGTGGCTGCCTTATGCATTTGTGTATGAGACATTATCCTGGCCTTCACTATGAGCTGTGATTCCCATGCCTCCCTATTTATTTGCAGTTTAATACTAGCATCTGGAAAGATGGAGAGGTGCCAACATGGCTGCTGGTTTTGCCAGGCTGTGGTCTGTTAAATTTTTTTTTCATGGTGCATTGTGTGGCTGACACTGCAACAGTAGTGGAGCCTTTATGGTGTCACCTGTTTGCCATGTAGTTAGAACTGCTACCAGTGTCTTTTGTTATATCCAAAAGACAAGTTACTTTAAACTAGTGATGGTTGCAAAAAGTTCAGAAATAACTCTAAAGAACAGCTGTCTAACAAGTGGGTACTGAATAAACTGAAATAACTTCCTTAGTTGTTCCCCCAAGCTTAATCAAGAATTAAAGGAAGTAAATTTTTTAATAGAACAACCAAAAGTGTTGTAAATTGTAGGATTTTTTTTTTTTTTGGTTCTTTCTGACGGCACATTTTAATTCTTTGTTGTTGTTTTCCTCTTGTCTGATACTTGTTTTGCTGAAGCTAAAAAGTTACAAAACCTCAGTGTTGAATTACCATGTCTGATCACTGTGTGATTATCATTTGCATTTACGGCGGGAGTAAAATCTAAACCCGTTTGTTTCTCCGTTATTTAATTTTGAGAATTTTTTGTTGGGTAGACTAATTTGTTACTTGACTGCTTCATCTGTAGTTTGTCCCTGCTTTCAGGCTGTAACATTTTGCAAAAAAAAAGTTAAATTTATTGCATAAATAACCTGCATTAAAACGGTAAAATAGTCTTTTAATCAGCACTCGTATGGAATTTAGAAAGATATCATGAAAGATAGCCTGAAAACAAATGCCAGTAATGCCTGAAATTTTCCTTTTTCCTAAAAGCAAACACAAAGCCATGTTAGTGCAGTGGCCGGCCTGCTTGACTGCCAGTCTTAGTCATGTTTGAATCTCCTTGGAGACGTGCTTGTAACAATGATCAGGACGAGCTTGCCTGAAAAGACATGCAGTATTCTGCAAACATTGGTAAATAGGTGTGGTGAACATGGTCACATCACCTGTCGAGAGCTGATTTTATTTTGACAAATGTGGGTCTGATATCATATGCCCAGAATTTAGAAATTGATCCATCGCAAGGTCTCACCATACACTACTGCTTCTCGTCTTTGATTTAACATGTGAATTAAACACTTGACTATTCCATCTCGTCTCCGTTGTTTATCAGATTTCTGTTACAATGTTAACTAGACATTGTTGTTTGCATGTAAGGTTGCATTCCGTGGCGTCAGGAAAGTATAAATTTTTCAAATGGCACGGGTGATAAAGGGGGCGGGGGAACAAAATCTCGATGATAAATTCTATTTACTCAAATATTGTTTGTAAATACTGACTTTCATCCGTTTGTATTTTGACATAAATTTTGCCATAATTTGGAAATGTCTCCAGTATTATTTTGGTCGTCATATGGTATTTTCCTGAAAAGCTGTCCTAGAGTGGACAATTTTTGCACAGGTTTTCAAGTCGCAGATGTAACTTTACACTTAATCGTCAATTTTGTTTTTGTTGCTTCAAGCACAGTTTAAACCTAACAGCTGGACTGACTGTGCGATGATTGGTTGATTGCAGTCATGTGAGAGCTAACATCAATCAAAATCTTGAAGTAACGTGCAGAATTGGAAAGGTACTTGCGGCAACTGACTAAACGGTAAATGGGCACAGATGTATTATCTTAAAATCTTTTTTGTGCCATACATTCGACACTGACATTTTTTGGCACAATAATAATCTTGCCGCTTTAATTACCCGAAACCGATGTCATTGTGCACCAGTGGTTGAGAACAGGGTTACAAGTTGTGTCCTCCAGACCTCTTAAATGTTAGCTATGGCGGGAAAGTTTATAATTTGAACTGCAAAAAATGTTATTCTAATGTTGGTCTTAAAAAAAAAAACTTTTATTTGGTTCCACAAAGTACCAGTGGGAATGACTGGTTAATGTTTTCTGCACATTGTTCTTGGATAGAAACTACAGATTTTAACATTGATGGAATAGGACTTGTTAGCTTCAGTGTGTGAGGTTTCCAGTGCAGGCCCCCCTTGGCAAGAATGCAGATCCAGGGTGGGTAATAAGCTTTTGGGGCACCAGTTTCTAGTCTTATGAGTTGTCAGAGGGAGGAAAAAATACATAATCCAGATTTTAACTTTAAGAAGTGGATTCAGATTTATTTAAAGATTAATTTTGACCGGGTGCTTTTTTTTATTCTTCCCTGTGCAATCAAGTGAAGGTGAGGTCTTATTTTGGAAACAGTCACATCTCTGTGTAATCAAATGTAGGTGGGAGTTGTGTATTTGGGCAACATTCACATCCCAGTGTAATCAGATGTAGATGGGAGGTGTGTATTTTGGAAACTCGTTAATATAAATTGTGGGAATTAGACAATAAAAGCAGAATTGTGGAAATTACTACTCATGTCCTGTCTTGTTTTTAAACATATCTCTAGTGTGTATTTTTAATTTTTCAATATAGCAGGAAAGTTCTTTTCCTTTGACTGTGGGGGAAATGAGTATTTTTTTTTTTTTAAAAGACAAGTGAGGAGAGAATAGATTTATGCATAAATCTCTAATTGGAAATATATGCCACCAACATAATTTGAGATGGGGAAATATGAGGTTATGTAACTGAGGAAGCGCACCAGATTAACCTGTGATGGGAAATATGAGGTTATGAAATTGAGGCAAGGCGCCAAATTAACCTCGTGAGATGGGAAATAATATGAGGTTATGTTACTGAGGAATGCCACCAACATAACTTGAGATGGGAAATACAACAGGAGATTATGTATCTGAGGAAAGCCACTAGCAAGTTTGGAAATAAAACTAAAGTAGGACCCTGCAGATCCACCCAAATGTAATATTCTAAAATCTCCTGGATTCACCCTTAAAAGGGTGCTTGGTGTATGTTGTGGTTTACAGCTAGGCTGTGAAATCTTTGCCTTTCTACCCAACATTGAAGCAAATCCCTAGTCCCCTTTTGTGATGTGCTTGTTAGGGTGCAGCTGGTCTACTCTTGTCTCGTCCAAAATGGGTCTGCAGAACTCACATTGTGGGATCCAAATCTTTTTATTCTTTCAACTCTTTCAGTCACAGGCAGCTGTTAGTTTAAACTCTTTGATTTCTACGTATGTTACATACAGCAGTACATCTTTGCATCCACAAAGATTGGGGACAAGCTGTTAGTTTAAACTCTTTGATTTCTACGTATATGTTACATGCAGCAGTACATCTTTGCATCCACAAAGATTGGGGACAAAACACAACTGGGGACAAAAACAGCTGTGTGGAGAAGAAAGTTTAGAAAAAAGTCTATCATCAAAGGAATAACCAGGTGATACTGTGACCACATTACCCACTGAGTACTGACTGATCAATAATTTAAAATATGTCTAGCCCTATATGCCTGAAAGTGGAAGTGACCTTTTTTTTTTATTAGGAAGAACCGGTAAGAGCTTGGTGAGTTCATTGGTTCTGGGCTGGTGTGTTGCAGAATAAAAATGAAATTTTACTTTATTATTCAGGATTATATACCTAACTTAAAATCATTTTCATTTTAGTAAAACAAAATACTTTTCCTAGCTTTTTTTTTTTTTAATTTAAAATATTTAAAAAAAAATTACCTCTAGTAGGATTGCATTCTGAAGGATTTAACACCCTGTGTCTATCTTCAAGAGCCGCTAACTGGTGATAATCCAGTGGAATTATATTCAGGAAACCTGCTCATTACTATCATTGTTCTATTGTAACACCTTCTGATTATGAAAGTAACGAGCGGAGGGGCGTTAGTTATAAATAAGATATCATAGAAAACGGCTGAAATTGTTTGGCCATATAATGCGGATGCCAACAAAAAGTATACCTCAGCAGGCAATCATGTAATGATCGGGTGGTAAGCAAAGAAGAAGCAGACGATGGACAGAGACAGAGGGAATAAGAGTCTCTGGGGACCCCCATTTGCGAAGCACACAAAGGTGCACTTTCCTGTGAAATATAATTCACCTCGACTCCGCAAGGTACCAGAGGATGAAGAAAATCTAATCGTCATCAATTAGCAAGTCTTGTACAGAACGTCGCTCTCTTCGTGACATGCCAGAAAGTATCCCTTTCCCTAGCCAGCTCTATGGCCCCCTGTGCTTTTAATGTCAATGCTTCTTTAATGTCCTGTATCCATCTTTGCTGTGGTTGACCCCTGCCTCGCCTTCCACAAACTGCACTGTCTTTTCCAAGCCACCATGATGCTTGATGTGGCCAAAATACTTCCAGCTTTCCAGCACAGGATGCTGTTTATGACCCAGCTCTCACTGATGTTCAACTCGATTAGAATTTCTTTGTTTTCCTCTTCTTGATCCATGGTATTCTAAGAATTGTTCTGTAACATTTCAATTCAAAAGCTCCAAACTTTTCCCTCAGTTTCTGAGTGAGAGTCCAGGACTCGCAACCGTAAGTTGCCACAGAAAAAACTCCTGATCTCAAGATGTTTACTTTAACCAATTTACTAACGCTTTGCTATAGTTTCTTCATGCTGTTTAATTTCTAGCAGTGCTAATGCACGTTTTCTTCTGACTTCTTTATAATAATAATGTAATAGATCAACA